GGATTACCATGTTTCCCGGGAATAGCAGGCTGATCTCCCCGGATGAGTCTCTATGAAATGCTGTTTCCGACTGGAGATGCCCCCTACCCGTCCATCCGCGGATCTCCCTTAGTCGGAGACAGCATTTTATAGAGACGTTTCCCGGGAATAGCAGGCTGATCTCCCCGGATGAGTCTCTGGAAATGCTGATCTCTTTGAAATTTCTTTGTCCTCACCCCAGGGACTTCAAGATTTGCCTGGCTTAAATTCTTAGCTTGCTATAGCCAGTGGGCACTAGCCCAGGGATTTTAGATGGCTGGCCCAGCGGTATTTAATAAAGGTTGCAAGGCGCACGCGTGTGTTCGACTCAGACCCTACAGTTGCAAGAATCACTGTGCATCCATGTGCATCCTTCAAACTGCCACCATCTGCTACCTACGGAATACCAAGAAAGTAAAGCCTCTATAAAATGCCCGTTCCATACAGGCCAATATATGCTCTGAAATCATCTTAAAGATCAAGGTTGCCCCCAGTTTCCCTCTATAAAATGCACTTTCCTTTCACAACATGGTCCATAAATAACGGTAACATTTTGCAAAGAATCCCTCCTATAAAATGCATCATCCATCTGCAACATCTTGCACCTCTCTATCATTTTTGATGCTGGGAAGGAAGCTCTCTATAAAATGATAAAATAGGGAGCTCTGGAGGGGCATTTTATAGACGGCCAAGCAAATCCTCTATAAAATGAGTCCCGGAACAGCATTTTATAGACGTAAAGCATGTGCATTTTATAGAGGAACAACTTAGGGGTATTATAATCATATAGCTGCACCGAGTGCCAGTTTGCAATCACATGGGACAGAAAATTGTCCTTTTGCAGGTATATGCGAAAGATACCTTTTGGTGTCTTTTAAATACTAAAACAGGTCTTTGGTGAAAGACCTTCCAAAGCAAGGTCTTTTGATTTTAGGGGCCATAGCTGCCCTGCAACTTCCCCCCTGCAAACTGTGCAAGCGAGCCAGGTCTCTCCAACTCAAGCAATATATTGGCCTTCTGTCCATCCACCTTGGTCACCACTGTAGGGGTACCATCCGCTGAAATGATCTTGGTACCCTTCTTGAGATCCTGGGGTGAATGAGGGAACAAGGAACAAGGTCATGTTTTCTGATTACTGGGATGACTGTAGGGTACAATATGTAGCCAAATTGCATCAATGTCATACTAACTTGAATAGGTAAGTGTCATTGTTCGCATCCTTCAAGCATGATGGCAACACTTTTGAAGCAAGTGAAAATCCATGAAAATCCCGCGCCTTTGCCCGAATGAAAACTGGTGATGGCCCATCCTCCCGCTGCAAATGCTCGAAGAGATGCCCTGGCAGGAAGCAGTGTGGCCCACCATGTGCAGACAGGCACGATGTGTGGCTCGAGGCGGAGCGGCCAGATGCCACACTCTCAGCTGGGTCTGAGACGAGCTTCGCTATCTTGGAAGCTTTGCTCGCAAGCAAGGTGATGTCACTCATCATGCCCTTCATTGAGCGAGCACGAATCTTGTCATACCACATCAGAAGTTCCTTCGCAAATTCATCCATCATCTTTTGAAGCTGCACGCTGAGATATGCGTGCTTTGTCAGGGGCAAATGCTGCGCTGGGAAAAGCGCAATACAGAGTTGGATCTGTTTCACAATTCTGTTCGCAGCAAATCTTGGGGCTAGTTTGATGCCCCATTCAAGGGGGATGTGTCCTGGGGGTATGTCGGCACAGATTTCCAAATCTGCTTCGTATCCTACCACAATGCTGAATGCTCTCCATAACGGCTCTGCAGCTGCAAACTTCTCCCAAATTCGCACACCGTGTTCAATCTTTGGAAGAAGGTCATCTGCAAATGGGCTCAGAAGGCGTCCAAGTCCTTCTGAAATGGATGACAACACTGACAACTTCCCTGCCAAATCTCCACAGGAGATCTTGCCGTTGATGATTTCACGGATAGGTTTCCAGAAAAATGTTGTAGCATGAGTCAAGGCGAAATCTTTCACGGTGAAAACGCCTTCAGGATCCAATATCGATGCGTGCCAACTGGCCTCATAGGCCACTTGATGCTTTGATACGAACTCTTGTAGTAGCTTTTGCGGCAACTTTGTTTGCTGGCAAGTTTGGCATGTTGTGCTTTCAGAGCTTGGGACACAGTAGGCACGCACAATGCTCATCTCCTTGACGGTGCACGAAAAAGCATCAAATGCGTCTCGAAGCTTTTGACTGGCAACTTCCCCACTGACATTGACATGTGGCGTCAATGTGTTTGCAAGGCAGTCTGCAAGGCCGACGATTGGCATCTCTGAGAAATGTTCTAACGCTCTGAAGCAATCTGGGCTACAGAGCGGTCGACTATGTCACGGAGTTGGCTCGCATGCAGTGGCTGGTTTCAGCATGTGAAATCAGCATGAGCAAAGTCAGGTGCATTACTTCCACATGATCTTGATTCATATCATGGTCCTACCGCCCAAGGCAAACCTAAACGTGTCTCGTGTCAACTCCTCTTCATTCACTTCAGCCTGTTGCCTTTGACAATGAGGTAGCCATCCTACAAGCTTGCACAGAGCCACAATACCATGTCCCTGTTGACCCTGTTGGCATTCCCATGTTCCACACTCAACTGGTGGTCTCTCCTGCTGTGTTTCAGCATGTGAGTGAAATCTTCATGCAAGTCCGCCACTGGCAGATTTGTCGGTGGCGACCCGCATGGTCTAAGTCAGCACTGGGCATCGCGAAAGGCATCGCTTCAAATGTTTCACTAGCTCTCACAGCAAAACTTCCAGCTGCTGAGAATCGATTGACTTGGGAAACCAATTCAAGGAAACCATTGTTTTACCGGGTAAAAAATCAGGGGGGCCCATGGGTGTCCTGTGATCTTTCCTTCATCCAATTCCGAGATTCGTTCAATGCCCAGGCAGCCAATTTTTCCTACTGACCTACGCTGGCTTTCACCTGCCTCGCAACCAGATTTCTACCGGCGGCGGTCAGCGCAAGGCAGGGTTTTCTCTATCTGATCACCATCAGCAGGTCCCCCAAAATTTCGATCACTGAGCTCCCGATTTGGGATGAAGATTCTATTCCAACGAGGTAGTAGTTTTCACTGAGGCAAAACAATGCTTGGAATTTGTTTATTAAAGCTACGTTGATTGAAATGATCTGTTTCTAGCCTCTAACCCCTGCAGAAGAAGGCCGCAAATAATGACTAGCCTCTCTCAGAGCAAGTCGCCACTTCGCAACCTGAGTGAGGCCGTGCACAGCTCTGGTCAAAATAGAAAAAATGGGAAATTCACTCTTTTCTACCCTAGTTGATGACTTTTTGGGGTGCGATACGGTGCCATACATCCTGATATACACATCAATAGATACATCAATAGATACAGTATGTTACACATCCGCCTTAACTGAACAGGCACCTGCCGGCTACCAGCAGCACTGGGTTCTCAGCACTTAGATGCCATTGTCCACCACCTGCACATGTCGAGAGCCCAATGAAATGGCCTGTGTAACCCCAGTTTTATTGGGATAATTTATGAATATGTGGGATACCCTCTGGTAAACTAACATAGCTATGGAAAATGGCCCATTTATAGATGGTTTACCTATTAAAAATAGTGATTTTCTATAGCTATGTTACATAACCAGATGGTATGTTGATACTGTTTATAGGTATTGCTGGCAAGGGGGGCCAATCATCGTTCTCACTCGAGGGTGTCAACAAACAAAGCCTGTTGATGGGCATCACCAGTCACCAATGGATGACTAAGCTGGGCCGGGCATAGCTGGGCTATCTAGCTATCTATCACTTATAAAAATGAGGTGAAATAATCCCAGTTACAACCGGCAGCAAGGCCTACCATTCTGTGGTGGTGCCACCCAGGCACAATGAAGGTAAGCAGTCTCCGCAAGCGATAGCCGTTCATCCAAACAAAGTCATCCTTGGAGACCCAAGATGACCATTGCACGGCCAAATGCCGGCCAAATTCCCCCAACAGTTGGTGTTTTGGGTTCATGTGGCAAACCGAATGCCATAAACCATCCCTAATATCACCAGAAATATATATGTTATAAGTTATAAGTATAATAAAGCCCCAAAAATTGTAGGTTTGCTATTGAGTTCGCCACATTACTTGATACCTACTCTATCGCTTGCACTCATGGCTCATGGCCAGGACATTTTGAGACAAAACCACGAAAAAGCTGGAGTCTCAACAAGAACTTTGGGTTTGACAGTAAGTCAGGACTGGAATTGACTTCAAAGGTCAAAATCGATCCCATCTTTTCGCTTGTTCATGCTGATTGCCTAAACCAACAAGGCCTGTACACCCTCATAACATCCTGTGGCTCGGCCCTCCTGTGCCCAACTCAGCAATTGAGCCCCTCGGGGTGCCGCACTGCATAACTGGATGCACAGGTCTTGTTCGCGAACTGCGAGGCGCGGCCCCCCGGGCTACGGCGGAGGTGCAGGGAGGAGGCTTCGGCTGGGGGGGGGCACCCAACTGGTCCTCTAAGTGCTTTGGAAAAGCTCAGGAAATTTGAGGATTGAAGTAATGATTGCTGTACATGTTTTTACCAGCAAAAAAAATATCACCAACGAATGTTTTTGAAAGCAGCTGTGAAGACACAGGTTTTAGATGTGAGCAAGTGATTTCTTGGTACATGGTGAAGCCACGGTTGTATGATGATATATCCGGTTCATCCCTGTCATGATCGAGGTTGATCTGTTGGCAAAAATCCAATTTAGATAAGTGAATCTGAACCCGGGATTAATACACTCAATTTTGAATTATTCCTTCCGGGATATTGCCCCAGAGTTGTTTTCAAAATTACGTACCAAAATTGGTGCTTTCCCTCCAATTGTATGAATGAATTGCTGGTTTACTAATCCTGGGTTCAATGTTAACACTACTATACATCAAACTTGCTAATTATATGTAATTACCCTTCTCTCAAAGAACTGGTATACGAATCGGTTAACATTCATCCCTGGCAAGGTCCTCCGCCCCTTGTTTTGTGGCCGCTTTCTGTGTAGAGTCCGCGACTCAGTCTGTCAGTGCTCGGAGAGAAGCACGGGCACAGCCTTTTCCACGTCGTTTCCCACGGCCTCCAGCACCACTCCTTGGAAAATCAAACATCTATGGGATCACTGGCATGTGCGTTTTCATTTATATGATCTTATATGAACTTAAATTTATCTAAATATGAATGATTCTGTCTTATATACATGGCATATATAAAAATCTATTGGTTTTCCCTCTTCATCGCATTCATTTATAATAATTTACATGCACGTATGTTATACATATATTATATATATAGTTATCATTACTTATCTATTCTATTATTTATTCATAGATTGATGTCATGGTGTTGGGACCAATAACTACTGCCATCCACTACTGACGCAAGGCGCTGCGTGTTGCATTCCAGGCATGGAGAACCCATTCCAGAAACAGTGATACCAATCACTGAACCCCAACTAGTCGTCCAGTGGCAGTGAGGCAAAACCCGTTGAATCGATGAGACTGGAGAATGCTGGATGCCTACTGTCAAAATGATTGTCTTCCGATCTACAAATGCTGCTGTTCCCACGAGGTCCCCATTCAGAATTCCTTGGCCATTTGCATAGCCCAGCATGCATATTTTGCCAGAATTCAACAGTTTGAGGAACCCAACTTCTTTTTGCCAGATTCTAACCCACCAGCCCAAACATCCACATCTCATCCCCAAATTGGGGATCTTCCAGGCGTCTCACACGATTCTCATCAGCGAATCCCATGTCTTTCAACATCTTCACCTGCGCATCGATGTTGCCATCGCCCCCACCACTAGCTGTCGCGGCTGTGGCGGCTGTGGCGATCTCTCCACCCCAGGCATCGGCCGTGGGTGTAGAGGAGACACCTCAGGAGATCGGCTCCGCGAAAAAGGGTGGGGTGTGAATTCAGAAACCCCTGAGTTACCACAAAAAGTGATGATCTGCCATTGAAAGTAGAGGGGTGATGAAGTCTACTGTAAAACTGGAAGATTCCCCACCCTCAAGGGTCAGTTGTGGGAGATTTCAAAGCGAACCACTTCCAAGGATTCTTACGCTATGGGTGTTGGGCATTTACTCTTGGAAAAGTGGGCAAATAAGTGTGTCCATGATCTTGACAACAGTTTGAATTTCACTAGGACTGGACTACTGATATATCCTATTGCTAAATAACATTATCTGCTGGATATTCCAAATATTTACTATTGCAGTCACTGCAGCTACAGGCGCTGGAAAAGTCATCCATGGCATGTTCTTCCTCCTTCTTCATCCTCAGCTCATTGGATCAAAATCACGTGCTCAATGGGGTCCCAATGCGCCCATACAATTTGTATTGATTCAATATATTATGTAATATACATATACACATACATCCCGCCGGACCGGAAAGCGTGCTCGTAAAAGCACGACTTTTTTAAAAAAGGAGTAATTATGGCACTGTGGTGAAACGCGAATTTCTTTCATCAAAAACATACCGAAAATGGATTCCGAAATTTGGATGTTTTCGCGTTTTACCACAGTAACAGCTCATTTTCATCGGAGGGTTTTTGTGGACTCTGAAAAATAGCACTTTTCCCGTCAGAAAATGCGGTTCAAAGCTTCGATGGTCTTCTTACAAAAGTCAAAAATGTAGTTGCAATTTGAAAAAGAAGATAACAACGTAGTTGCAAGTTGTGTTACAAAAGCCAACAACATAGTTGCAATTTGAAAAAGAAGATAACCCCATGCAAGTGGTTAGAGAAGTTAGTAACGTAGTTGAAAATGGTTCATACAAAACAAGAAGTTAGCAACGTAGAAGCACGTTCTCAAAAACGTTGGTTTTACGAGAACGGTTTTCGGACCGCTGGCATATACATATACATATTGAATATGTATATGTATGTGTATATGTATATGTATAATTATGTATATATATATATATATTTATTTACATCTATTTATATAAATATATATATATATAATATATTTATATAATTATATAAAAAATATATGTAACTATTATATATATAATGTAACTATTACAATATATATATATATATGTGTGTGTGTGTGTTTGTGTTTGTGTTTTAGATTGTGTTAGTACTAAACGATCCATTTTGGGGGCCATAATTTTGATACCAACCTGAGGGACACTAAGGGGCACCTGAGTGCCTGGCTTCTTATCGCGGTGCTTCTTTTTCTTCTTCTCTTTCACCTTCCCCATGGAGCTACACCCACGAAATCAAAGGTGCCATGTCTATTTTCCAACCGATCTACCTTAAGTCAACTGAAGTCAATAAACTGCACTGCAGTTGGAACTCATCGAAAAAACTTTGAAAAATATGCTGGATGGTAGGTCTGCCTGGTTCCACTGCAGCTTTAAGTAAAACTTTTACTGGGGGTTCCAGATTCCTATCTTTTTGTTTTCACTGGTTGCAGTGGAAATCTCACAGCAATCTGTGCCTGTGGTGCTGCCTCCGACCAACCGGGTGAAAAGCCTGGGTTTTAGCAGTGTAGCTACAACGAAGCCAGTCGATTAAACACCCCCGTTGTATGGTCCTAAATATGGTGTAGGTCTTCCATCCCCTATTAAACCAAGGTTTCTGGGGGGTGTTTAATGTTGGGGAAGGGAGCAGTATGCGTGCATTTTGACATGATTTTGCATATGCGCGCGTGCGCTAAATGTAAATAGATGCATGATAATCATTGGCGTACACTTGAACATGCGCCAATGTGCTTGCACGACACGTACATTCATGATTGTCTATTATAGACTACAGAAGTATTTACTGAATCCGCACAAGTCCATTCCATGCAGATAGATATGGTGGACACGATATAACCCGATATAATCTGCATGCCTTTCATATCATCCCAGATTCGATCACCGAAGCACAGAGGTAAATCGCAAGCGGCCCTGTTGACTTCAAAAAAAATCATGACCGTGCCAGGCAAAAGAAAAACCAAGTCATAGAACCAGTTGTCTGCACCTAGATGGCATGGAAACAATTGAACTCACTGCGGCCCTGCACTGCATTTTCTGCGATGGAACAAACTGTATGAGCTGGCAATGAATTCAATGCCACGTGCCACGTGCCTCCCGTTTGGGAGCCAAAAGATGCCAGTCGTCTCTGCAACGGATGAGAACGCCGAGGTTTCTTTTTGATCTTTTTGGCAAAATCCAAGAGCTTAGATGTAAATCTAGCTATAAAATATTATAAAATCATGAAAAATTCCATTGTGGTGTCAGGGGGGGTTGGACCCCTGAAAAACCTAAATCAAGGACCCCAACCTGGGGGAACCACAAGTGCCGGAAATGAAATCAAGGAGCCAACCCCATGAATCCCTTAAACATCAGCAAATTCCCAAAATAAAATTAATACAAAATAATTATCAAAAAATAAAAATTCAACAGGTTCCCCAAGGCGACCTCCCAATTTCATCCAATTTCCCTGTTCAAACCCCATGATTTTATTTGGAGCACCCCACGGGGGTATGAAAACAAACCCCAGGTGGCCTACTCAGCGAGACTCTGGTACTCCGACTTAGCAGCTGATCCGACTTGGGCCATATTCAGCTGATGATTTTGGGCGACATTTTCTGGTTGGTGGTTGACCTACCCCTCTGAAAAATCATGGACTTCGTCAGTTGGGATGATGACATTCCCAATATATGGAAAAATAAAAAATGCTCCAAACCACCACCCAAGTTTTTTCTGATCCAGCTGCCAGGTGGGAGTGTTCCGAAATTTCAGAACTTGTCGGATTTTTCTGGCAATGGAAGGGCATGTGAGCGATTCCACGAAACTTGGTGGCCAAGACCTTAAATGGCATACAGGCTGCATATGATATTGTCATAAAGCATGAGACCCTCACTCGCAACACGGACTGGATATGTTTAAAAATATATATATATTTCCATATAATTTCCTTTGCACTGACTAGTGACCATAGAATCCATAGACTATAGAGGTTGATTTGCAATGAACCGAGCTCACATGACCTTTTCTTGCTAAATTGAAAAGCATGAAGAGCCTTCTGGGTCAACGATCCCACTTCTGATTCTTTTCTCCTGCGAGGCTGTGGAATCTGTGGAACTATGGCAAAGCCCTGGCAAATCGTGCGAGTGACGCAACCCAAAAAGTGAATTTAAATGAATTTAACACAACATGACTCAACCTCAGCTTGCTCAGATTACAACTTGCGCTTTCAACTCCGTCTTCTAGCTGATGCAGTCTTGCAGAGAAGCCATGCTGAAAAATAAAAAGGGCTGAGCACATCCAGAAGGGGCTTCAACTCTTCAACCCTTGGTAGCAAATCATCCATTCTATTTACAAATGGCCACTATATCATGGTATATCATGGTATAATTTACCAGTATATACTATGTTTTTTTCCTTCAGCAGATGAGTCGGGGCTCGTGCTGTCTCATGCAAAGCTAAGCCACATCTGGCTGATAGTCAGGCAGTCGGGGTCCGCAAATACTATATATACCATCTGGTTATTTAACATAGCCATGGAAAATGGCCCATTTATAGATGGTTTACCTATTAAAAATGGTGATTTTCCATGGCTATGTTAAATAACCATAGGGTATATATAATAAAGATTAATAAAGTATAACTACCACCCAGCCGCTCCATGCCGCCATGCCGCTCCTCCTTCACATTCAGCGCTTGTACCAAGTGGCCTTGTGTCAAATGGGGCCAGCGCACCGGCGACGAGACCTCTGGGATAGAGCCGCCCCCCGACAGAAAGTCGTCGATGGCATCGTCCAGCGATTTTCCTACGACCGGGCGACGATCGGTTGAGGAAGGTCGCCGGTCATGGTTGAAAGCCATGTGTCTGTTAAAAGCAAACACTTGGCCACGGAGGAAGTTTCCATACTACATTTATATCATTTATTAACTCATATGGATTCATATGGTCGTATGTTCTGCCTCTGGATTCTAATTATACTTACGTGACAATGATGATCACCTACATGTAAGATCCGTGTGGTCCCATGTGATCCCCAAAATCTGCGATTCCCAACAGGTTCTCCAAGCTTCTCTGGTCCAAATAGATCCCTATCGCAGAGTACAGTGCCTCCTCTGGTACCATGGTCTTGGACACGCTGCGCGAATGCCGCAGCTGCTTTGATGCCACCCGATGCAACGGTGCTGCAGCAGCCGTGGAACTTAGGTATAAATCCACCGCCCCACTGAGCAGAGCATCAGCTTCTTCTGCTTTTTTCAAGGCTTCAGCCATGAACAAAGCCGCCTCCTGGAGGAATTCCATGGGACGGTCAGTGTTGTGGCCACCGGGCAACAAGCAGAATCGACTGTTGCCATTCCAAGCGGCTTCCAGTTCTTCAACCTGCCCCGGTTGCACCACACAATCCCCTTCTGCGACCGCAAAGAGAGCGGGGCAGTGGCACTGGGGTGCCACCTTCACAGGTTTCATCTGTCGCGGGTCCAGGCCAACCCGTTCTTTGACCGCCTGGCAGACCCGCGCTAAGCAAAAATCCACCGCGGATTGAGGCACCCATTGCAATGCTGGGCTTTGGTTGCAATAGTCCTCCACCACCCGCTGGAAATTTCCGAAGGGGGAATCTAAAACACAGGCGTCCACACGACGATCCTTGGAGGCTCGAAGGATGGATGCCACTGCGCCCATGGATTTCCCCCACAAGCCGATACTGGAGACCATCTCGTGGTGGGACAGGTAGTCAATAACCACACGCAGGTCCTCTTCCTCTCGATAGCCCAAAGTGACATAGTCACCCCCTGACAGCCCAGAGCCAGAAAAATCAAAGGCGAAAACTGTGAGCTTATGTTCAAAGAGATAGGGCATAATCTGAAAAGCATCCACCCGACAGGAGCTGCTTCCATGGCAAAAAATCACACATGGAGCTCGTTCCACAGACTCGCAAAAAACAAAGTGACTGCATTTCAAGACATGGCCCCTTCCATTCTTCAACTCCAGCTCTTGCCGCAGTAAGGGTCGACTTAGCCTTTTCTTACTGCTCTCAGCCGGCAGGATCACCTGCAACTGTTCCGGCCCCAAGCTCTGGTTGCCATAGATCCTCCGTGGCGGTCGGATTATCAGCCGCCAGGCCTCCAAGATATGGGCTGAAAAGGTGGCACCAGCAGCTCCAGGGGGCGTCTCCTGGCTGCCGACCTCTGGGCCCTGGGGGCCCTGGCCCTTGCCATCCAGGGTGCTGGCCTTTTCCATCCCTGGTTTGGCAGGGCTGCTGGCAGGTGGGCTCATGGGGGGCCCATCCTCATCTGCTTTGCAGGCTGGAGGGATGATTTTCTCGGAAACCATGGGGCCGGTTGCAGAAAATGTGGAGAAATCCTTGAAACCACGAAATTCAATGGTTGAGAAAATGTCTGCAAGATCTTGGCCTATCAAACATTCAATCCAACAAGTTCCGGAATGTTTCCTGAAGGTATGGGTTCTGCACCCAGAACGCGTGAAAACCAGCTTCCCAAGTCTTTTGATGGATAATTGGCAACTCTAAATAATTCCAGATATGCGAAGTGAGACGTAGCTTCTTGAGCCTGCAATGGGGGCAGCAAACCTCGCCTCCGGTTCTGGGTGTTCTTCGGTGGTTCCAGGCCAGGCCAACCATGCAGGTTGGGGGGCGGCCGAGTTAATCTTCCCATCTTTAGTTCAAGAAATCCACTCTGGTTGGCCCACTGGCCGAATGCAAATCAATTGCCGTTTTGGGCTTTCTATGGCTTTTCTATGGCTTTCTTATGCTTTCTTCACGTCCACCTGGCCACAGGCACCAGGGGTCTTGGCTGGGGCCCTCACCTGCTTCACCTTCCACTCCCTGCTGCGCCCAGTGTACCTCTCCATACCTTGGCACCGCAACATGCTGGCAGACTAGCAAGGTGATCACGCGAAGGTGAATCTTTGGGATTGCCACAGCCTGGTTCCAGCACCCAACCCTGGTTCCTCCTGAATTGCACTCAAGCTACGGAGACATCTCCGCACCATAGGTGTCACCATAGGTTTGCTGTCCCTCCATTGAGCCCTCGCCACCCTCCCAAGCCATGCTGGTCTGGATCTCTGGCATAGCTGACCTGAGCCGGTGGGTGGTGCTTTGGGCTTCTCCAACATCACCGAGGCCAGCGCACTGCTGAGTTGAAATCAATCAACCTTGACCCTTATACCCACTGAAATGGGAGCAAGTATAACATATCTCACCATAATCACATACTTTTATGGGTATTACACTGGAATTACTCAGGTCAAGGTGCTTTGGCTTGCCATGCTTCCATATCCCATGTCACAACATGGCCGACATCCCATGGCTAAGGGGCTGAGGAATCTCTGCGTTGAAGCCGCTGTCGGGATAGGCCTGGCCATAGCCATAGCTTGGTGCAGGCTCAGACCAAGCCATCTGCGAAGGCATTTCTGACCTGAGCCCCGAAATGCACTGAGCTGGCTAAGAATGGGCTTCCAGATGATGAATCCTCTGGAATACGATGTGTCACAGTCGGGGGAACACCTGAGCTTTGGTTTGATTTTTTTCTCCGAGGGGAGTAGTCAGAGAAGGAGTTGATACTTCGACATCTAGACTGTTCAAACGGTATGGCT